AAGACATTTCAATATGTCTAATCAATTTTTGTTTGACAGATAGCCACACCCCCTTAAAGACTTCGACCACAAACATATGATGCTCCAAAAGAACTCTGTTTTGAATCTTAACACCCAATTGACAAACCAATTTTGGATTGATGTGTCTTGTTTGTATGTCTGTAGGTGAACTTTAGGTGTAGATTCCAAAGATGTTAAAGACAATATTGAAATTGGATTGCTGAAAAAATGATTGGAGCATCATCAGATTGCCCATGTGTCTACTGGGCTTTTAACATAAAGCCAAATGAAATAGTAATTTTCTCATACACATGTTCACACACCCAAGATCAGGAAGTTTTTAGTCTCGCCCAAATGATGGATTGATATCAACATAGCGAAATCTATATGGGACTTCTTTATACAGTTTTCTGCTCTGGTATTATGCAGCTTAGGAGTCTGGACTTTCCTCCAAACAATTTCAATTATCTTCCTAAGTAGTGTTCTCTTTTCACTAATCGTTTAACATTTCCTATCAAAGCATTATTGCAAACTTTTTTGAAAGACAAGAAGTTTAAAATATTACTTTACCTTATTTGAATGAAATTTGGTTTGATCAGTTATATTGATGAGATCTTGAACAAGTACGAAGTTGATGATCTTTCGATGAACGGTTTTGAGTTATTGCCCTTGACATATGAAAAACGCATCAAAATTTGGTTGTGAACACAATAGAGACTACAGTTTTCATCCAATTTCAATGAAATTTGGTGTGCATATTTATAATGATGAGATCTTGGACAAATTCGAATTTGGCTATCTTTCGATGAATGGGATTTGAGTTATTGCCCTTGATTTATGAAAAACGCATCAAAATTTGGTTGTGAACACAATAAAGATTATACAGTTTTCATCCGATTTAAATGAAATTTGGTGTGAATATTTATAATGATGAGATCTTAGTCAAGATTAAACTTGACATTTTTTCAATCAACGGAATTTGAGTTATTGCCCATGACTTAGTAAAAACGCATCAAAATTTGTTAGCGATAGAGGTGACAGTTTATGTCAGAATTTTATTAAATAATGTGTGTTTGTTTAAATCAACAATATCTTGCACAAATTAGATTTTTGGTATGATTTGACACTGATAGGTGACTGCCCTTGATATACTCAAAATCTATCAGGAAAGTGGGCGTATCTTGCTAGACAACCACTTGTTATTACATACAGCATAATATAACACTATTCTTAATACATCATAGAGCTCATAGGAATAGTTGAATTTTCTTAATGCAAAGCCATTTTTGCAATTATTATTTTTTTCATTTCACTTGATCGTCAGCTTTGTATGGTAATAACATTCTGAAGGTTTGGAATAAGTTTCCTAATAGTTGTAGAAGTAAAACTAAGATGATGGCTTATTTAAAAACCAGTATTTTTTGGAAATAATTCACTCAACAAACAAATAGTGCCAACAACAAACAAATAGCAACTTGACCGATAAATTTTAAAATTCAAGGGATTTCATATTTCTAAAAACGATCCTTGAAATATTGTTTTTGTTATTTTGAAGAATAATGATCTAATTATAGAAAGTATTTTTTTCTGCAATTTATTTTGAGATAAGCCGTATACAATGTTATTGTATGGAATGCCTTGTAGATTTACTGGATTATCAAGGCATTTGACCATCTGCACCAGAATGTTGAAATTGACGATTGAAAAATATTGAAATTGAGTGGCTTGTATAAATAGACATAAGCTTTTTTGATTGTCTAATCAGATTAAAGCGTTTTTTACTTCTGATGGCCTTGTATTTGTTATTAGATTCATAATGTGTTATTTTTCTATTAAAGATCCCTTCTTTTTATACGCCCACACTGATATCGCGTTCGTTTTTTTTCCACTTAATTTGCTCATGCTCACTCTACAGCCTAAAATTCTCCATGGAATCTTTTGATCTTTTGTATGTGTGTCAATATCATTATTAAGATGAGCACTATTCAATTTGGTGATGATCCGATGATTTTCTTGAGAGATATTGCATAAAACTCTGATATCGTGTTCGTTTTTTTTTTTTCTCACTTTTTTGGCTCGTGCTCACTCTACACTCTACAGGCTACGATATAGAGTTTGTTTTACAGTTCACATTTAGCTCTTTATCAAGCTGCTGGTGGGCCACAAGCCTATGTTTGTTATTAGATTTATATTTTGTGTTACTATTCAATTTAAGATCCCTTCTTGTTGTTAGTAGATTTATTTCCTTGAACTATTCTAATAACTATCATTATTTCTGAAATCAAAATATTTCTTTAAGAGACAGGTTTAACTAAACAGTAATAGTGTTCACAGCTCACTGTTGAAATTTTTGCCTTCAAGTCCAAGAGCGGCCTGAATTAATATTTTTAATTATTGATTAAGATGACAACTTTTCATTTCTTGAGACTCTGCCTTAAATAGAAAAGACATGGACCTATATAGAGAGAGAGAGAGAGAATGAAATTCCAAGTTTGAGGTATTTTTGAAGGAATTATGTGACTTTCGTTAATTTCTAATAGTCCCAAAGGCTATTTACATATATTCACGACTAGTGCTGGGAATAATTATCGATTATCGCTTTTATGTCATGTACTGATAACGATAATCGATGGTTCATTTCAAAATCGCAAAAAATAACATAACCTCTGGTTATTCAGTTTAATTACTCCTGGGACAATAATAAAAAAACACGCTTTCGGCAGTCACATAAAGCAAAATAAACTAAGCTAAAGTCTTTATTCTCGTATGATCATCCATTACATTCAACTCAATTCTCTCATAAGAGACCACCTCCAGTAAGAGACTGTTTTTGAATTTTCCCCTGCGTAGTCTCTTAATACAGTTTTTACTGTATCAACATTACGATATTTATCGATCGGAAATGCCTAACGATATATTGCCGATAATCGATGATAATTTTAAACTCGATTCCCAGCACTATTCACGGCCCAAATCAATCACTGAAAATGGCACATCTGTCCCTTTAAAAAAAAGAAAACAACCAATACCAGAGTGAAAAGTGATATACCATATATATGTGAATATAATGCGCACCCCTTCTTACCCTCCAGTAGATCTGGGAAAATCTCTGTCACTGTAAATAATGTGACGAAAAAATTAAGAAGTTGGCATAACACAGACACCATAATAGTAAGTTATAATATCGCATATTCCATTGTAATTTTTCCATTCAGAGAGTTTAAATTGAGGTATATTTTCTATCAATAATCATCTTGTAAAATTAAATACGCACTTTCTTGAGATATGAAAATCCCTCATCAGACAAAAGTTTTTATCACTCATTCACTAATAACAATAGAAAGTAGGCAATTTACTGTCAAGATTGTTTTTAGGATAGCCACTTGGAAAAAAAAAAATCCGGCTTTCCAACTGAGACATGTGTTCTTAATAAAATGTAGACTTGTGCCTCAAGGCTTTTAATAAGAAAGACTCAATCAAAGAAGCCTGGCGTTAGCTTGGAGAATGCATTCTTCAATCATAATCAGGGGCCACAAAGAAATATTCATAGATAGTCAATGAGATTACAGGACGTGCTCTGATCATTGAATAAATTTGAGTGAACTATCACCTTTTCACCTTGACCTTTTAAATGACCCAAACCTTTAAAATGTAGCAGAGCAATCTTCTGGACCTTTATTTCTTGGGTTAATTGGTTGATGAATATAGTTCATTAGACTTAATTCAACCAATTAAGAATCTACATTCAATTCTTAATGAATCAGAAATATTGGAAAAATTATATAGGATTTATAGCAAAAATAAGTTTGCTATTCTTTTCTGTGATTTTGCCATGGCATATTTTTAAACATGTGGTGTTTGGTCAATTAGGTGTAAGTCAGACATTTGACAGAACTGAGCAAATTTAATCGTTGGGCGTAATTAATCATTTGAAAATATCTAACTTTTTTTATGCCCGCACGTGTGTAAAAAATCGTCCTCCACACGAGCAGCCACATAAGCGAATGTTTTAAGCGATTATATAATTCAACTCCGTCGGGCGATTAAATATCACTTATTCAAGTAAGAAGTAAGAGAGCCAACTAATTTTAAGATTAAAAATAAACCACTCACAGTATTCATGTCAAAATTGTTAACTTACAAATTAATGTTAAAGATGGGTTCCCTTATTTCCATTTATGAAAATGAAAATGCTAATACTTATATGAATAGAAAGTAGAGGTGTTCTAATGACTTGGAAAAATACCAGTTTGTCTCACATGTCCATAATTAATTCATAATTTGCTTAATTAGAAGAGAATTACCAGCAGAATTTCAATGAGTGACAAATAAAGAAAGGTCAAAAAGTCTTTTTTTGTTTATCCAGACTGTACATATATTGACATTTATGATTGGTTAAAACTCTTAATTATATGCAATAAGAACATAATGATATGATTAAGAATACGTGATAATTAATTAGAAACACCAATAAAACAAATAGTCTGCTTAATATGTTACTAAAAAACAAGGAAACCCATCTTTAACCTGGGTCCAGATCACGTTATTAATGAATAATTTTTTGGGGTATATTCCATTAATTTTGTAATTGATCAAGTTTCACGTTTCAAGTATGAAAATAAAACAGATCCGCACAATTCTTGGTTAAGAGGCAAAATAGATGATATTTAAGTGATTAAATTAACTATAGAAATGCACATGAAAGGTGTTCTCATTTTCAAAATTGTCTTGTTGAGGCTTATTTCACCCCAACACTGGAACGACTACTATGCTTGCAAGTGGAGTCTGTTACAATGTGGACTCTAAATGGTAAAAAGGAACTATTTCTCTTTACAGCTGCTGATCCCCACCAACTTCATCAATGGATCTGCATACCTTCTTGTTACTGAACTTAGAATGAAATTCAAACATTTTTTTTTTGTTTTAACAAAAGTGTTATAAATTGACAATGTATAAGTAATGCATCACAAGATATCACATATTCCAATAGCACTTTTTAATTTTCTTGCAGGAAAACGCGAAATGAAAGTGAAAAGAAAAGACGTGATCAATTTAATTTGTTAATAAATGAACTTTGTGCCATGGTTTCTATGAATAAAAAGAAAATGGACAAGACCACTGTGCTCAAATCAACGATTGCCTATTTAAAGAACCACCAAGGTAGGTCTGCATGATTAATCAATTATATGGATGGATCTTAAAGAAGAATTATCTTCATTTGGCTCTTTGATCTTTTGGAAATCAATATCTTAGCTCAGTTAGCTGAATGATTTAAACATAGTTAACAAATTACATTTGGACCACCAATAAATCTGTACATTTTTATATCATGTACACATGTACCAAAAATATATTAGCATAATTATCTGCTACTTATAACATTAGTATACAAGTACATTTTTATATCATGTACACATGTACCAAAAATATATTAGCATAATTCTGTTACTTATAACATTAGTATACAAGTACATTTTTATATCATGTACACATGTACCAAAAATATATTAGCATAATTATCTGTTACTTATAACATTAGTATACAAGTACATTTTTATATCATGTACACATGTACCAAAAATATATTAGCATAATTATCTACTACTTATAACATTAGTATACAAGTACATTTTTATATCATGTACACATGTTCCAAACATAAGATAAGGGTGATGTACATGTACACTTTTAGATCATAATACACATGTACCAATCACAACATTTGCAAGATGGCAGGTACACTTTTATATATTTTTAAAGATGTACCATATATAATGTAATCATCATTATGTACCATGTACCAAACATAACATTAGCATGTACAAATGCTTTTACATATATGTACATATAGTACACTTTCCTTCTGTAAATCTGATGCCCTTTTTTAATATACAAGTTATCTATATCTACTTCTAGCTGAAGTTCAACAATAATCTTAACAGTACAATTTATTATCTGTACAAGTAATTACGTACATTTTAATGTATATGCATATTTTCTGTTTTTAATAATTCATATACTGCATACATTATATTTATTCACCTGATAATAAACCCCAGGGTTAAAAGAGGGTAAAACCATCATGTATGAGGTTATTAAAGTTAAAATAAAAATCCCAATTTTCATGTATTGCATACATTATATTTATTCACCTGATAATAAACCCCAGGGTTAAAAGAGGGTAAAACCATCATGTATGAGATGGTTATTAAAGTTAAAATAAAAAACCCAATTTGATTTATATTTATGTCTTCATTGTATTCCAAATATTGTGTACATATATATAGTGAATACAAAAAAATACATGTAAGAAATTTCTTATAAATAGATGTCTTAAAAGATTATTTTCAAATCGTGTGGTTTTTCTTGTTCCGTTGAATGATTTCTTATGAGTTTCTTCAAGAATTTAGTTCATTGACTCACTAAGTTGAAGTTATAAGTGTACATCTCTGGAGCTTAGACATGATAAGTGCAATTTTACTTAAGGTAGTAAGTTTTGGTTTACATGTCTATTATGCTGTAATATAAGTGCACAAAATTCCTCCAAAATAATTGAAGTGTTTGTGCATTGAATCAGTAATTTGAAAATTATAAGAATAGATCTCTCAAGGATATACATAATAAGTGCAATTTTACTGAAGGTAGTAAGTCCACTGCATTATACATGTCTATTATGCTGTAATGTAAGTGCACAAAGGATTGTAAAAGTATTTGTGCATTGAATCAATAATTTGACATTATAATTGTACAGCTCTCAAGTATTTACATAAAAAGTGCAATTTTACTGCATTAAACATGTATATTATGCTGTAATAAAAGTGCACAAGATTCCTCCAAAATAATTGAAGTGTTAGTGCATTGAATCAGTAATTTTGACATCTCTCAAGATGCAATTATGTTAGTTATGTAAGCTGTGAGTCAAAATGTTTGTTAGGCTGTAATGAAAAGTACATAAAAATCCCCAAAATGACAAAAAAAAAAAGTGCATTGACTCAGTAATTTGATATTAAAAGATAACATCTCCCATAGCTATACATAATAAGGGTAATTTTACTTAAGGAAAACAAGTTGTGGGTCTAATGCATATTATTGTTTATTATGCTGCAAATATAAGTGCCAATTACCATAGAAATGTTTATTGACTGTTCTTACGTTCTAAAATATATGATTAAGGGATTGTAAAGAGATTTACTAAATTTTTTATGTGTATCAGGGACACTGATAACATCAATTTACACAATTCCATTTTTCATCTCATATTATATTCATCAAACACTTAGTGTTAGTGAAATTGCAGGATCCACTTGATGCTCTTTCCTTGCTAGCCCCTCTTAACTGCATCACTGACAGGGGAAAACCAGGTTGAAAAATCTAAAGGTATGTCGACCTATGCAGGGATTGAAAAGGTTATATGCCCCTAAGTTTTATATAGGCAGACGTTTATAATGACGATTACATCACATGCTTACAAACACTTGACAGGTGTTCCGGGGAATATTTCATGTCATTTGGAAGCTTTTGCATAAGTTTTTGATCTCTTAAGCTAACTGTTGTGACAAGAATCATTTCCTTGGGAATAAAATGGAAGTGAAATTACCAAACATCAAGTAGACAATGTTGAGATCTCTCATGAAAATTTTAAAAGATATGAATCACCACTAACCACCTTTATACAGCCATAAAAGTTGGCCTGCTTGAAGTGAACCATACTCAATCCGGACACGGCCCTGGCTGGCCGGTACCCTTTACACTGAACTGTTTTCACTGGGCCAGAATGGCAAGTCATCAAGTATACACCTGCTCTCCAGTCAATGGAGGCGAAAAAGGCGATCATTTTTGTGCTTTGTTATTAAAGAAGTGAGTTATACCATAATATACCCCTTGTATTTTTTGTTATATCTACATAAAATGAATTGAAATTAAAAGAGATATTGATTTACATATAGATCAAGTTGGTTGTGGGTAGGGGCTTTCCCTAAAATTATATGATATTCTTATCGAAATTAAATAGTTTTAACTTGACTAGTCATGAAGAGTATTATAGATTATTTGATATGATTATGTGGAGATAAATTTTAAACCTGCAGAGGACA